TTAGTTTTTGGCACGATGCCATACAGAACTAGTTTGAGATTGCTATTGCATCTGCATCTATGAATAAAATTGTGAGATAAAAATATTTGCATATCTAGAAGAGATAATTTTATGCATTTCTAATATTTTTTCAATCAATAGTCACAAAAAATACGAAAATAGGCACAGAAAACGCTTTTCCCTTAAGTTTGTATTTAATATCTATAACCTCGATATCATACTGCTTGATATCAAGCTGTCCCAGGTTAAGAATCACGTTTTTTATTATAAGTAAATAAATATCATACTTGGTTTCTACATTTGAAATCATTAATTTTCATCAACTATGTCAAGTTGTTTTATGTATTATCTTTATTAATAACCACTTGATGTTACGATGTGTTGTTGTTTGTTATCTAGGGCGTTGCATAACGTTTAATGTACTTTGTATGTATATATATATACATATATGAGGAAATATTTACCATGTTAATAAAGATAAACATAAATATAAATATAAATCCCAGTGCGAGTACTTACAGATGTCAAGAGTTGAAAGTTCAAAGGAATAAAACCGCAGGCGGTCAATGTTGTGTTCTGGCTTAAAAGTTGTAGGGAATAACGTTGCATCTGAAAAAAAATAGAAAAAAAAACTCTTTTACATTTGTAATAGCAATTAAAATTTAACGAGTCTTATGAGCTGTTGTGCTGACTTCAAACAACATGGTTTTTCACAGATGGCAACCCAAATGGTTGTCCTACTTCTATGTGATCAAGTTATTATTACTAATTTTTTAATATGCAACGTCTATTTTCACTTGAAAACATGTTGCGTCCTATATTTTCAAGTAAAAACCGAAGTCACTACTGCTTGACATCATACTGTCTAAAGCGGGCATCGAACTTTAATACAAGTCGATAGCTTTAACTACTAAGCCACGGGTAAGTTCTATTAATAGTAATTAAGTTACCGTACGGCAAGTTATAGTAATCGCAAAAAAATCGAAAATGAAAATTTATATATATCTTTACGTTACAGAACCTTCTGAACATTTTGGCATACCTTAGAAAAAATGGATGTACGTGTGTGTGTATGTGTGCGTGTGTGTGTGTGTGTTCGGATACAAATTTTCGTCGACGATTTCGGTAACCAGGATGAAGCGATTTGAATAATTCAAAAAACATTCGATTCGTATTGATAAGGAGACGTTTTGATTAGTTTTTGGCGAAGGCAGGTCTAGCCATTTTGGAAATATGGGGCAAAAAGTGCCAAAAACGGTAACTTAGTTTTTAAAAGAACGGAGCGTTCAATTTAAATAATCCAGGAAACATTTTATTTGTATTTACTAAATGAAGAACTGTTTAAATTTTTGGAAAGGAAGGTGCAACGACTTCGGAGACATTTAGACATATGTACATCAAATTATCAGATATTTTATAGAGATTTTAACAATAAGTATAAATTTTGTTTACATTCCTATGGGTTCCGTACCAATGTTTATCCGTTAGACGGCGACGCGGCGCTTACGCGCTTCGATATTTCATCTTTATGCAATTAAAGCAGTACGATTGCTTTAAAAAAAATTTCCAAAATATTTCAAAATAAATAATTCTTCAAAAAGTCTTTTTTTTTTTAAAAAAAAGTAAATTTTTGTCAAAAATTTATAGTTTCTCAAAAATCTTTTTTTTTTCAGAGTAAATTTGTTTCAAAAATGTTAATTTTCTTTAAATAAAAATATTTTTTGGTACAGAAAGTTCCAGCAATTTGTCTTATGACAAATAAAATTCAATTTATTTCAAATTTTCGAAAATATAAACGTCTGTGTGTCTTCTAGGTTACGTAACTGCCATATTCGAAGTTGCATCTGTTACGTTATATTAACGTTTCAATTACTTTTTGTGGTTTACTGGGTATATATAATTTCTTTAGACTTTACCTTTTGACTAAGCGAAATGTCTGCATAATCAATCGGCACTTGATGGAGGAGACTTCCAGTTGTTTCCATCTAAATTTAGAAAATTAATGGATTTTTAATTACTGCTTTAATGATTATTTAATTTGAAAGGATATTAAATTGTGCTTTATACTAATTAAGTAATTGCAAAGTTTCATTTAAGTGACGTGATTCAGAATAATTATTCTGTAGTCTATTAGATGTTTTCTTTCCTTTACCTCTCTGCTAATTTTGTTACAATCATAAACAGTCCAAACAATTTTGCCTCCATGCAAAATTATCCACAAAAGCGTATAAAGGACAAAAGATATGTCCTGCTGGGTCCTGTTCGAAATCATCCTATAGGTATTATAAGCCTGCAAAATAAATTCATCAAAATCTGAACATAATTTTAATATAATAATATTATCTTTACCTACCTGTATATTTAATATGGTGAAAGAAGAACCCACAGTGACCAGAATTACAATTGCATTCCTGGCATTAATTTCTTTGGCATTTTCGCATAATTTTGCATGCAGGCCTAATAAAATGTCTAATTTGTGCACCAGTAGACATTTAGAGTCTGCAGTCGATGTGTAATGATTGTGCGATAAGAGTTTTTGGTTAGCTTTGAAAGCTAAAACATAAATTAAACTGTGGGAATCAATTATGGTAATTTTTAATACATTTTTATAAAACATAGAAATATCTTTTTATAAATTTATATATTTCTATACTAGAGTTGTGAGTTTGAAATCTTTCAGCCCATGAAATCTTACACAAATCCATGAAGGTATGAACATATTCGTATTCCACCACAACTAGATAAGAGTCATCTGGCATAATCATCGAAGTTAGTAAAACAATATACGAACTTTTCGATGGAAAAAAAACAACACGCAATCCAGATCGAGTTCCAAAATCTTAAGCATCAAAAGACGATTTTGTGAGTTAAAGGACAAGGAGAGGTTGAATTTCGATTTCAGTGAACTTTCTAGTGTCAGCCATAACCCGTCATCTGGATATACAGAATAGTATGCCAACGGAAGTCCGGTGTATGGCAAAATCAAAACTATACAAAATGTCATAACTTGAATATTTGTTTCTATCCAAACTCATGGCCTCTTTGATTTGCACAAATAATAAAAGAATAAAAAAAACTGATTTTGTGTACTGCAATTATACCTAAAGAGTGTCTGGTCCTTGGTCCTGCTAAACTTTTAGGAGTTATCGAATAGATTTGGTTCGATATTGTATCAATAGTGTTGCCTATGGATTTTAAATTTGAAGATGGTCCTTTGTTATCACCACCTGGGTGATAGATGATTATTTTAAAATTAAAAATTATTATTATTTTAAATTTTAAAATCAGAAGATTAAAGTGCATAAAGACTATTTCTACCTGGTAATTTTAGTGCAGTACTATTTGCACTCGTCTCACTGTCATCATTACTGTTTTGGCTTAAATTTTTAATCAATCCATTCACGCAACGAAGTTGTGCTTCTGTTAAACTTAGTTGTAAGGTGAATACACTTATTGATATACAACTTATCTAAAAAAGAAATAGATCCATCTAAATTTATATTTTCATGATAAAAATTAAGTTACAATAACATACAAGAAGTTTGGAAACCAATAAGTTATAACAAGCGTTCAACGTTGATGTTACGTAAATGTTGCAAACAACATGGCAATTTCAATTAAGTGATTGTTGGTGTATGGCATCGTGCCTTAAGGTAAATTGTTGGAAAAGCTAGTATATATATTTAAAAAAATATGTTAAAATTACGTAACAAATATTCAAATTTTTGCTGTGTGTCTATCTAACATGGTTGGTACAAAATTTTGTGACGTCAATGTTACATAAAAATCACAGTTTGAATTGGATTGGAGACTAGGTGTAAGTGGTATTTTGCATAGAGGCAAGTTAGTGAACTTCCTGATATGTTCTAGTAATCCACTTATGCGATAAGAATTGAAATTCAACTTTATCATTTAAATTTTCTAAAAAAATATGGATGCTTTCCATGTTGTCCCAAACCTAACACAACGCTTTCTCATACATTTTTACTTAGGCTCCGATATGCATGGTAAGCGTTATTTCAATATTTTTAAATACATATCTGTTTTATTAAAAAAACTATGTGTGAGTGGTATGGAATTTTGCCTTAAGGCCATAAGAATTTAGATTTAAAATTATAATTATACTATTTTACTAATAAATACATATGCAACAAATTTGGCTGTGTGTTATTTGACGTGGCTGGAACAGAAGTTATAGGTATTTAAGGCTACGTAATACAAACGTATATATTGTTACGTCAATGGTACATAAAAATTACAGTTTAAGTTGAATTAATAAAGTGATGAATAGTGTCTTCTGATGCACGAAAAATGTATCTAATTTTATTATGTTTATAGTTTCAAAGATCATAATTTTTCAAAGAGACTACACACATAAAATTAAAAAGATACTTGATAAACTAAACTGGGACCTCGGTGTCTTCTACGTAAAGTTTAACACATGGCTAACGTTTTTGTTACTTATTCAATGAAGAGTTTTCAACAATTGTTTTAATACTTATTACTCACCACATTTGGTAGTACATAAGTTATGCTGGATGTCACACATTGTCTTAAATTACAGTCGTTATAAAATGCATCCACTGTTATTGTAGCACCAAAAAATATTAGAAGAATTGCAGCATTCCATAAGCTATTCTTATTGCTTTTTTCTGATCGATTCCACTACCTAGCTCCTGAAAAAATTTAATATAAAGGACAATGAAGAAATAAATTCCTAGTCGATCAATTTAGTAGATTTAGTAGATTTTCTTCACCTGTAAGCTTTTCTCAGCATTTTCCAAAGAATGCACAATTTTTGAAGATGTTTTTTTGAATATGGCTGATAAAATCATTATCAAGAAAACTAAAAGACAACTGCAGGCATACTCGAATATGTATAAAATGGTCTGCACATTTGATAGACTTTCAGTGTCGAAATCTACATGTTGTCTGAAAGGAGAAGATATCGATTAGTAAAAACCATTTTCGAACCAAAATTATGTTATATAAAATATACAATGAGTAGGTGCAAAAATATTTAAGGAAAATATTGAGGATGATATAAGAGGATTTTTATGGAAATTTATTGGATTTTTTGGGCCAGACATATAAATAAGACAGTCAGAGCTTGTGTTTTGATATAGGACGATGTCGGTTATATGTGTGTAAAAAAAAAATAAAATCATTTTCGACCATCAGACAACTTTCTTTGCATCTCCGAAACTGCTGGAATGTCTCGCTGTCAATACGAATCGAATGTTTTTCGAATATTCGTTTTCTGCACTTTTTGCTCCTTATCTCCGTAATGGGTGAACGTGCCTTTGCCAAAAACTAATCAGCACATCTCCTCATCGGATGGAATCGAATGTTTTTTGAATAATTCAAATCGGTTGATCAGTGGGCCCGAAATTGTGGACGAGAAATTGTATCTACACATACATACATACACACACACATCTATTATTTCTAAGGTATGCCAAAATGTTCAGGAGGTCTTGAAACGTTAAGCTTTTTATAAGTAAAATAGTTTGTTAACGATTGTTGGACAATTAAGTTAAAAAAGTAAATTTTACAAGAAATAATTTAAACTATTGGTGTATGGCATCGTCCTTAAGCGATCGACGAAAAATTGTATCCACACATACACACACATCAATTTTTTCTAAAGTATGCCAAAAAGTTCAGGAGATCTTGAAACGTAAAGTTTTTCATAAGTAAGTAATTTCATAATTTTCGATCACTGTACGATTAAATAAAAACAGCAAATTTTACAAGGAATAAATAAAATTAATATTTTTTTTTCTTACTTGTAAGACATCCTGACGACCAGAAATAGAACTGCAAAAAAATATAACAGTTGTATAACATCAGCACTTCTTTTGCAAGTTTTTGTTCTTTTATTCTCAGGGCCTTCAACATACCATGGTATGGCACAGAAGACCTTTGCCAGAAATGTTAAGGGTTTTTATATAATAGAACAGACGTGTGAAGGGCATTTTATGAAAACTAAGTAAACATTTTTCACATAATAATACATTTACATATAATTTAAGATTTTATAGGTCTGACAACATTATAATTATCATATTTAAATCTCACCAACAGATTCTATTAAACACTACTTTTCTATGATTATTCTTATATTCGAAAACGTTTTCCAAATTTTAAATTTTTTATTTTTAACTAAAATGAATAAACACATTTTTA